ACTTGTGATCTTTTAACAATACTTATTCATGATGTCTCAATTTTAACGGCCTCATTGCATTCAGCCCTAACCTCTTCATGATCATCACTGCAGAAAATCAGGAGTAATCTTGTGACATCAAGGGTGAGAAAGCTGAGGTAATGGCCGAAGCTCTTTTCCTAGGCTTTGTATTCGACGATAATCATGAAACTGTATATCCTGCATTCTACGTTGGCCTGGGACAATTCTCCTTTAGAAGTTCACTTCTACTTGCTTGCTGAATTTCTAACGGGATTTCTGTTCAACCTTCAATATCATAACATTATCCCAGTTGGAAATTGATGTCAACTTCAATTATTTTCTGATGTGGGACAAGTAAATGTTACGTCAGATTTGGAGAAGGTTTGTTAGGCATCAGTCACCCCGTGGGACCATTAACTCAGGCTCCTGTAGGAGAGTTAAATCAAGCCATGTTTGGGTTTTACATGCACAGAGACAGGAGTGGGCGGCCTGAGTCAGAGACATGGGATTCAAAACTGCCCCCAGCAAGACCTCTTGAGTATTTGAAACCAGAACACCCACTTTCTCTGGAGAAGACACATTCATGTCATTTCTTGGCTTCAGAGGACATATCTGCTTGTTGGCATCCAAGTAGACAAGATGCACAAGCCCCAGATTGTGAGTTCAGAGGGGTGTATGGGTCAAGGCTGCCTCAGTGGCCGGGGCTAAAGGAGCTTAGGAAAAAACAATGCATTTTGGTTGTTGTTTTTGATTTGTATGTTGGGGTACACAAGGAATATTTCCTGAAATAAATGTTAGGTGAATTGGGTTTCAGAGTCATGTTTAGAAGGGAAGGAAGATGGCTAAAGAAAAACAAATGGCAAATACATTCTCTCATGAGGTCAAATCATGGGGTCACCCTACATCTGTTCAACTGGACAAGAAGACTTCCATAGGGACCGAACAGGAGTGGCTGAAGGCCAGAATGTAGCTGGGAGTCAGGTCGTGATGCTTCTTGACCATTAGGGTCGTGTTTGTTGACACTGTTCATCTTGCTGGGAACACAGACAGGGACCAGGGCAGCAGCAGGGGTGTCAGGACCAGAGGGAGGTGAGCCCAGGGCGGGGGCCAGTGCACCGGGGCCCCCTCACCCGGCACGTGGGGAACCTGGGCCAGGACAAGAGGCTTTATTGGAGCATTTTCTGTGAGGACTGAAACAGCCGGAGAGAAATAAAAAGTGTCGCAAAATAAAAATGTTAGGATTTGGTGGCTCCATGCTGGACTTCCATGGAGATTTGAGAAGCAAGGAAGGTGCCGAATTGACAAAGAGCAGAGATATAAAAACCTACAATAACCCGGCAGCTGGCGGAAGTCAGCAAACAGCTGTGTTTTTAATTCTAAATAACTCAAGTATGAGATTTTATTTCTAATTTTAAGTCCGATTTTATTCCCTTGTGCTTAACAAGGGAAGTCTTATTTCAGCTCTCTATATCTGTATATAAAAAATGTAATTTATTGACAGGGGCACAAATCAACTATGTGTTGTATGTTTGTGTTAAAGAAATAATCCAGGGTGACAACATAAACTGCCTATATATTTTTTAATTCTGAAGTTTTTTATATATGGTAAATAATATATTCCTGACTGAGGCTTAAGTTACAATGTCAACACTGACTATTCTAAAGTATAACACAAATTCTATGTTTTCCTGGTTGGGGATTAAATCTATAGTTTGAGTGTATTTAGAAAAAAATCCTTATGGTGGTTAAACAAAATAAATTTCTTCATAATAAAATGCTCAAGTTGTATAACAAAACATCTTGATTTTTTTTCAGTAAGTGCACATTCTGAGCCACTAATAACAGCTTTTGTGCAGCGATAAAATAATAACGGGCATGACGGCTCTAAGTAATAACTCTGGTGACGGCTCAGTGGATCTACAGCTCCTTCATCAATCCTCACACTAAAGGACCCTTCCTCTTAATACTAGAGCTGCCTTGAGTGTCCTTCGTTAATTGTGTTTGAGAAATAAACAGCTCTGCCAAGATTTACCGGGGAGCTCACAACATCAGTGTACTCCCCTCCAGGGACTAATTAAAATCAGATACTATTTATAGCTGCTTTGCCCATCAATGCTGCTGAATGTGGAAGGGAAAACACTTCTTCACGTGTTTCCCTGAACGACACTCACAGTCCTGTTTTTCATCACTATTCACCTCAAGTTTGATAGCCGTAAAGACCCATAGCATTGAGTACTCATTAGAAGGGTTCTGCCTGTTTTGTTATAATGCCAAACATTCGCTAAAAGACCTGCTGTATACCCATAGAATGTCTCCCCCAAATGACGTTCTCAGCACGGAGATAGGAAGAAGAATTATACAATTTAATGTTGAGATAAAAGCACTCTGTCCTAAACTTAAGGACAGGAAACTGTTAGAAATATCTCTTAGAGTCCTTTGTTTCAAATACAAATAAATAGTAGGGGACTGAGGAATTTATGTGAACCCAAGAAGTCTCTTTCTTATCAACCTCTCTTACTTCCTCTACTGAAAATACATATGAGCTGAAGAGGCTGCAGTATCTCCACTTTAGAACTCAGGCCCATAACAGCAAAAACCACAGCAACACCCCCACTTGGGCAAGGTCAATTAGCCTAGGTGGAGCCAGCCTAGGCTGACCCTCCTCTGCAATTCTGGGCAAAGTCTACCAGCCCAGACAGAGCCAGTCTATCAGAAGTGGACAGGCACCCCTTCTCCAGAAAGTCCCTAACTGTAAACCCACCCTATAGCACCTCTGGCTATCAGGTGGTGCCAAGCATCCCTGGACAACAGCTCAGCCAATGGCAACCCCTCCGGACAAAACACCCAATGAAATTCCTCTATATGTTTTAAAAACCTCCTCTGGCTTCATTCTGTAGCTACGCTGTAGGGCGGGGTGACCCAGGCGTATGTTTGAATAAAGGCACTCCTTTGTTTTTACATGTGTGTATGGTGGTCTCTCAGTGGTGGTTTCTGTCCCAACAGAGGAAGTAAAAAAGCCCTGGTGTAGTGCTTATAACACACCTGTAGAAGCTCTCTAAGGTACGGATAAATATACCTTTATCTATGTCTATTCACTGGAACCTCAAAATAAAATGCAGTGAAACTAATTATTCTAACCTTAAAATGTTTGCTGTTGATCCTGTTATAATGCTGAAGATGGTAGGAATGTTATTCCCTAAACTTTACATTTATTAACATAAAGTTATCATAACACCAGAGGTGATACAGTGTTGAAAGATAGCCAATCAAACTAACATTAAGACAGTTTTCTATACATGAAAGAATTACAGGAAGTGGAAATATTGAGAGAAAGGAAATAGAAGTATTTTAAAGGGTACATACTTACTAGCCATTCTTCAATGAAAAGAGAAAGTGTTAATTTTTCTTCTTTTTTTTTTTTTTGCAATTTTTGGCCTGGGGCTGGGTTTGAATCCGCCACCTCCAGCACATGGGGCCGGCGCCCTACTCCTTTGAGCCACAGGTGCCACCCAATAAACTATTGGTTTTAACACTCATACACCTTGATATTTCCGTGAAATAGATTATCTACTTTTTCTTGGTGAAACTACAGGGTGCTTTTTTTTTTTTTGCTTGTTTAGAATTCTTTCTGCTATTACAACATACCACTATTTACTATTCCCTACTGGCATTAGACATTTTAAAAAGTAAATAATATTTAAAAGAGAAGGAGTTATAGTAAGAAATCTGGCATCCAATCAACAAGGACTGTACATATAGTTGCTTTGTTCAAACACCCAAATGCAGAACTATAAATGCCATACTTGGAAAAAAAAAAAGTTTACCTAAATGGGTAAGTAAAGAGATAACCACTGAACCATATATGAAATGGGAAAATGTTTCCACAAATGGGCAATCATTACTGTAGAGGACCCAGGAAAAACCATAAGGTGTTTTATATTTGAAAATTCATAAAGAAATGTAAACAATATCCATTTGATAATATGTAAATAAAATATAGCTTATATTTAATATATTAAATATATAGTTATAAATATTTTAACCACACATACAAATAAAATTGTTCTTTGTAGCTAGAATTTTTTTCTCATCCCACAAAATCATGAATAAAGTACATAAATTCTGTGTGCATTACTGTTTGCATTAAATCAATACCATTTTATTTAAACTTTAAATTTTTTCACCTCCTATAATTTTTTCTGTTTCCCTCCATATAGCAAACAAATTTAATATCTAATTAGTAAAAAATTTTAAAACCAGAGAAGAAAGAAGTGTTTTTCCATATATGTATGTATTTAAATGTGTTTATCAATTTAGCTAATAAAATCTGATTTGTTTGAAAGAGACAGTCCTCTTTCTTTGGCCAAATTTAAAAAAAAAGAAAAAAGAATCAATGTAGTTGTACAGGTATGATTATTTTTCACTTGTTCCCAGATGAAAATCTAATTTAAAATCATTCCAGAAAATATTTTGCTTTATTCATTGTAAAAATCATAGATCAAAAGAGAACAGTCATGATGAATTGAATATACCATGATTGTCTAAACCAAAAATTCCCCCAAGAATTCAGTGTTCTTGAATGTTCTTACCTCACCCACCTCCTCTGTTCACTGGACTGAAGTTTCTCTCTGGGAGTATAAAGGGTCCTTTTGTTACTGTCTGAGCTGTATTCATGCATTTCTCTTTGTGCTTTTTCTCTCAAATCCACAGTTGCATGAAAACAGTGCTGTTATAATTTAAATTACCTTGGCAGTGCTGTTTTAGAGATCCTGAACATTTTGATATCTATAAATGACGTCAGTGATGACTTCCAGTAAGAGCTTACAGTTTTAAACAATGTGGAAATTTGCACAATTTGATACAAACACATATTAATTTTTCTTTATGAACTAGATTTTCTTTTCTGATAATTAAATTAAAATATTACTTCCAATTAGATGTCAGGATCTGCATATTCAACAGTGCTGCTTAATCTATAAAATTAAGAGCCAACACTTTACCTCACTTTTAGATTCCCTTGCTGGGGCTGTCCGTCGTACACGGATAAAATATCAAAATCCTCTTCCAGAGCAAAGGTGTGGAAGGACAGCTGTATCCTATTACGCTCTCCTGTGATGATGATCCAGGTGCAGTTCGCGTAGTTGGGGTAACCGTGAGGGAACCCTGGGCTCTCGATGGTGCCATTGGGACCTTGGACTAAGCCTCCACAGTTTTGACCTAAGAAAGAAAATAAAACCCAGAATATTAGTTTGGCCATCTTTGGTGTCACATTATTTGAAATTTTGCAATAACTCATTTGTAATTCTTGCACACAAATATTGAATGATAAATTGTAACACTGTTCTGCAGGGCTGAAAGGTGGGGGGAGAACCGTAACAGCAGCAAAGGATGGCAAGAAAAGAAAAACCTAACACATGGGGAACTGAGTACGTGGGGAGATTTATTTTTTGACATTTTCACATACAGTCTTGTCGCTATAGATTTCAGGATGGGGGAGAGGGGGTACACGTGTATTAATCCAGCCGAGAGCCTGCAGTACGTGTTAGCATTAGCGGTGAGAAGAAAGACCACAGCGGCATGTTGCACCAACTATTGATTTGAGTCTTTGCTAGGAGACGTCTACTGTGCAGAAGAATAACGTGAGACCACGCGAGCTTTTCCAGTGGATAAGGAAAGGCAGAAAACAGAAGTTAACTGATGCTCAGATTAAGAGCAGCCCAGCAAAACCAGAAGACGTTCCCTCTGTGGTTGCTCTTCTGTTTCCCCGGGTCAGACCCCCTGGACAGAAGATGAAGGAAAATGTGCGTCCACGTGATGGAAGCAAAGAAATAAAAAGCCCCCAGTTAATAATAAAATGAGCAACGCAGGTTTACACCTCTCCTTAAGCACTTCTCGGAGTACCCCGTACTTTCTCCTCCCCTCTTGTTCTAACCTCCCTTCCACAGGCAGAATTACAGCTCTCCTGAGTGAGTGAGGTGGCCGTGCTAACGGGGCAGGTTGGGTGCAGGACAGTGTGCACCGACAGCACCCAGCAGGGTCACAGGGATCCACCACATTCTCCCTTCTCTCCAGGATTTTGTGGTATCAAGTTTCACTGTGGGTTTCTCTGGCAATTTTCAGACTTCTAGAGTCATCCCCAAGAACAGACCCCTATGCACACTGCAGTCCCCAGGCTCTTCCTGGAAGGAGCTTCCGGGAGTTACTGACAGCCACACGCCTGACCACCATTCTGTCACTGCCTCTAGACGCACGGAGACCCCCCCTGCTCCCTCTCACAATTGTCTCCTTGTGCTACTCCTGATTATTCATCTCCCGGCCTTTGCTGGGTGAGTCTCTGCTTACCTGTTTTGTTAATGTCCCCTCCTCATGTCACTACTTCCCACACAGGGGCTCTCTGCACCAAGCGTATTTGGCTGCTGTGGCTGTTAACTTACTGCTCCGCGCAGTTACCTCTGACAGTCAGCCTGCCCCTGTGTACACGTGGGTCAGTCAGACTGAATGACAGAGAGTGGAGACGGAGACTGGGACAGACGTCTCCTCCCAAGTGTGCTCTGCTGAACACCGCTAATCGTTTCATCGATAATTATTACCATTCCGTGAGAGAGCAAAGTAACTCCTCTCCAATCCTGCGTTTATCTGAAATGAACTGTTAGTCGCTCCTGAACACTCTCTGCAGTGTTCCGCTCCTGTCTAACCTGATCTGAGCCTTCCTCTCTGACGGGTCGTGAATGGATTTCAATGTTTTGACACTAAAAAATATGAAGACCATTTAGAAGTGAACAGGGCGTATCTGGATTATCGTGTGTAGGATAAGTACTTAAACACGAGTATTATCTTAGCCTTTATTGTTGAACTGCAAACTGAAAATTATTTTCAACTACATTTTGTGTGTAAAAAAAGGTTACAATAGTAGGTCTCAGTGAGCTGAAATCCTCTACAGTATTGTCAAATGCATATAGCATTTGGCTAAATCATAATAAAAATATTCAATGAAAGGGATTTTGTGAGTTTAAAACCAGAGAACTAACAAGAAGCCCATTTTCCACTAATTTTAAGTCTAACAAAAACAGTACACCAAGTAGATTTTAAAGCTGTGGAGTTTTGAAAGGTCTTTTAAGAAAATAGCTTTTCTGGTTTATCTAGCTATTCTCACTTCACAGTAAATCAGAAAAGAATGAAGACTTGATTATAAATTGGAGAAAACAAAAATAAATTTAACAAACAAATATTAGCTGGAAGGTCATTACTATCATAGACCAAATATGCTGAAAGAGATTAGCGGATATTATAATTTCTCCAGGAATAACATGCAGGCCTCTTTTGGGAGACTGATCAGCGTAGCACTTTATGCAGAGTGAGACACATTTGATAAAGAGAGAACTTCCAGAGGCCTCGCTTGAAAATTCTGGAACTGTCTAAAAGTTCTTACCTGAGTAATTCTAATTCTTGTGTGTGTTTGTGTGTGTGTGTGTTTTCAAGGAATGGTTTAATTTTTTTAATTTCATATTAATATAAAGGGTACATATGATTAGGTTACATTGTTTATATCAGTTAGGTGATGTCCACATTGCAGTTTAAGCCTTCTAATTCTTGCTTGTTCATTGCAGGCAACAGAGAATTTTTTAAAGTTAGCTATGCCTAAAATAGATTTCTGATTTATTTGGTCTGCGATGCAGCATTACATCTTATCACAAAGCTGCAGTAACCAAGGCTGTATTTGAGTGATGCAAGGCTAAAGATCCAAAGGAACAGAAGAAAGAGTCTAAAGCTCACAAAACCGTAGACCTGCCTTTTAATGACGCGGCAATGCTCTGTGCCTGGTGCTCAGCCCTCATCAGCACGGGCCTCATACAGGGTGCTAACAGAGATGCTGTCGATGTTTATTTTTTTAAAATGATGTACAGCTAAGCTTGATTTAAATGCTGACCTTAAATACAGCTTCAAGTAAGTAGATTACTTTAAATAAAAAAAAAGGTAACGGACAAACTTAAACATAATATTTTTTAACATGTTGCTTAATATGAATCTCTTGTAAGTCCATTTGTAAGTTATGTTTCCTTATGGCAAGAAAGCAATCTTTAGCTTCCGCAATAATTTTAATATCCTACTTAGGAGTGAGCTGTTATTTTACAGGGAATGAAAATTCAATTATTACTGAAGAAAATGTCTAATGCTCTTTTATCTTCCAGTACTGATGCTGGAAGTTACTTGAAATAAAACATCAGTACGAATGGAAAAAAATCTGTTTGTGTATGTGTGTGTGTATATATATATGTGTGTGTGTATAACTGGAAAAGAGTATGGAATAACGTCGAGTCACTAATATATCTCTCTACATTTTCCATTGATCCCACAGTTTTATTTCCACTTTATAGATACATATACAAGTTGCATGCATGCTAAAACACACATCAGAGACATACATCCAATAATGTGCACACAGCTAAGTATTTGCTGATTTAATTTAAACAAGCTACTCTCATAAAATTTGAATGCATGCCATAATTTTAAGAAATTGGTATCTAAATCATCTGGCAATTAAGTTGTACCATACAGAACCCCTGGTTTGTCTCTTTAAGTAATCGGCAGGATGTTAGGCATAGAGCACTTATCAGAGTTAATTTTGGGTGGATTTCTACACAATCGATGAGATCTCAATCCCACACTTTAACTGTAGAGTATTAATTCGAGTTATTTTAGTTCTGCCTCGTACTTCTGGATGGAGGTATTGTTTTCAAATATATTTTTCATATTATCCTAGCTGATCATCAAAGCAACACCACACATTATTTTATATATATTCAAATGTAGGTGGAAACTAAGTGATTTGTCTAAAGTCTTCCAGAAATGGAGCAGGGTCTTCTGACACCCAGCAGGAGCCCTGTTCCTGCACCTCCCAGCTGCGTCCCCGGAGACAAACACCTCAGAAGAGACATAAATGCCCAGGGATGCTTATCAAATCTTAATGGACATCACAACAAATAGCTTGTATTACAAATTAAAAACCTGACTAAATACAGACCAGAAACTAGATATTTAGGGATTCTAACTTTAGCCCATCTTTAAAAGTAACTGATGCCCACTCAGAGAAAAAACATAAGGTAGCGTTTGGACACATGAGTTCTCTCTGAGTCTCATTCCACGTGTGACCCCTGGTGTCGTCTTACTGACTCTCTTCCCGACTGCCGTTACTGTGCTCTGTTACCTGGCGTATTGCCTGGTCTCTATGTGAGCTGCACGTTTCAGGTTCGGCACCTGCCAGTGCTGCAGGATGAATGGTGCCAGCAGCACTGCAGCTGAGCGCATCTTGCTTTGAAGATGGCCTGCCTGCCGGTGGGCTGCTCTCCATCCTGAGAACGAGCCTGTCAGGACAACCACCCTGGGCCCGGTGAGCTGTCGAGGTGAGGGTGGTTAGACAGGAGGCCCCCGTGGAGGCCGAAGAACCTATCCTACCACAGGTGGGGCTCTCCGTGGCCTAGATCCGTCCCTACTGGGTAACTCAGTTTTGGAGGCACTGTGCTATGAGAGAATTGCACGAGGCCCACAGCAGTTCTGAGATAAACTTTCTGTCCTCAGCGTCCCCACCCCTGGCCTGTACCTTTCCCAAGCTCTTGCTCTTGCATAGAAGGATGCACTTTTCATTTCCTAGACTAATGAGGTAGCTAAAATGATTCACCTGTGATTCATCCTAGTTCACTGTGAGCATTTATGAGTGAACATGCTCAGAAAGAAACACCCTCCTAGAGTCTACTCGTGGATGTGAAGTGCTGTTTCTGTGCTTAGAGAAGCCGAAGTGGATATGATATTTAAAAACGCATGTGCCAAGCACTAGGGATGTCCTATCACATCGAATTCTATGCAGCTTTTCATGTAGAGAGTAGCTTAGCTTCCCCTTTGCTACCTGTTATCATATTTACTCAGACAAGACTTTATGATAAGAGAACATCAAAGCCCCTTTCTAAGAGCAAATATTTGGCCATGGGTGATATTTTGATGTACAGTTGGGTTTAGTGACCTCAGAAGGATGTGAATTGTATTGTTCAGAATGTGGGAAGGTCATGCAGGAAAATGAGGCCTTTCCCTCAGTCCCACCAGCAAGGACACAAGTCACTGGATACGTGATGGACAGGCCTGGGGACGCTGAGCTTTCAGGATGTATAATTGTCTCTGACTATGTGGCCTACTGTCATTTGAAAGAGGGAAGAGATTTGGCTGTG